CTCTGAAATGGATGAAGTCATATCTTACTGATCGCTGTCACTTTGTTTCTCTTGGCGGATTCCAGTCTAATGTTAGTCCAGTCCAGTGTTCCTCAGGGCTCAATCTTGGGTCCCTTGCTTTTTAGCATTTACATGTTTCCACTTGGCCAACTGCTTAGATCACATAGGCTCTTCTATTATCACTTCTATGCTGATGACACTCAGATATACAGCCGCACTAAATTGGATTCTGTTTTGGCTGCTTCTCTCCTATATTATTTGTGATATAAAAACTTGGATGCCATACAATTTTCTGTAACCACTTGCCCTCCTGAGGATTTACCCCCCCCCCCCCTTCCTGACCAGGCCATTTTTTGCGTTACGGCGCTGCGTTATTTTGACAATTGCACGGTCAGGCAACACTGCATCCAAATGAAATATATGTCCTTTTTTCCAAGATATGAGCTTTCTTTTGGTGGTATTTGATCGTCTGTGTATTTTATATTTTTGGCGCTATAAGAAAAAAAGCCTGACAATTTTGAGGAAAAAAAACAATATTTTTTTACTTTTTGCTATTAAACATGTCCAGTAAACAAATTAAAAAAAATCTAAACATGCTACCAAATTCATGACCCAATGAGGAGAACAAGGGGTCGGACTTGGTGCGCATGTATAGAGTCTTACCCTAGGAAAGGAATCTAGAAAGCTAGAATGGAGCCAAGGTTTAGGTAAGAATGGGATGGACTGGGAGGGAAAGAGGAGGGGGAGAGGAACTTGAGATGATGTCAAGCAGGAGGAAGTATTTTTATACTTATATTTCCTTATTCTCCTCCCCCCCCCACAGTAATTAGAATGCATCATTGTAATTTTGTAGCACAAGATGAGAGGCATCAACAGGTGCTGCTCTGTGTCAGACATTTGTCAATTTATACAATGGGACCACTAAATTGACCAGTTTCTTTCAGTTCTCTAAAGTAGGGGGTCTATCTGATTTCCACACCAGAACAATGGCTTTCCTAGCATAGAACAACAGTAGACCCAAAAGTGTTCTAGAGGCCCTAGAAAAGGCTACATGATTGACCAAACCCAGGAGACAAGCCGTTTGAGGGACTGAAATTGTAGTTACTGAGCAAATAAACTTTAGGATATCAGCCCAAAATACTTGTATGTGGGCACATGACATGAGAAAGGTCTGCAGGCGTGTCTCCACACCACCAACAATTAGGTTGTTCTGTGACATTTTTTATCTTAGGATGCGGTTTGACAACCGGTACCACTTGTCAAACTCAACTACTGAGTTCAATGGGGCTGCACTGCAACTATGTGCACGGGATTGCGGAACAGTAGTGTGGCATCAATGGGTTAGACCAGGCGGTGAGAAGGCAATGTAACTGCCTGTCAAATGCCCTCTGAAAAACATTGTGTCTGGAAGGAGAGATTTCTGAGAGTGGTACAGCAGGGATTTCTGCAGATCCTCACCTGCAGTGAAGAACAGGTGAATGGCTCCCCCAGGTTGCAGCATGCAGGCACTAACACATGAAGAACTTGGCCAGGTAGCAGAATGGTGGGAGGCCATCCGGACATCTCCTAGGCAATGCTCTCCCACCAGAACTGAGTCTCCCCACTGCACCGATCAGCGCCTCAGGCTCTCTCCTTCCAGTTCTTGTAGACCTCCACATGGACATCTGTCAGCTTCCCCAGTGAGGAAGGTGACAAGCTCAGAGATGCATGCTAACTTTGGAGGCATCAAGGGATGGATAGGAACAGACAAAGGGCCAGATATGGCCCTTGGGCTGCAATTTGCCCAGGTCTGCTCTAGAAAGATACAGCTATGAGAAGGCTAATTTTACAATTTGACTAGAGTTCAGCTTTAAGGACTCCTAAACATCCTTCCACTGAGCTAAAGTGGTTCTAAAGGCTCAAGGTTTTCTACCTTCATGCACTGTATGCACAAATGTAAAAAAACCTTCTGTGTGTAGCAGGCCCCCCCAACACTTACCTGAGCCCTATCCCGATCCAACGATGTCCAGGAGAGCCTCGGTTCTCCAGGGACTCTCACTCCTGATTGGCTGAAGCAGCAGTGGGAGCTATTGAGGAGGATACGGGCTGCTCTCTCTGCAAAACCACTGCACAGAGCAGGTATGACATATTTTTTATTTAAAAAAAAACAAGACTTTAGTATCACTTTATGTTACAGAGCAATAACTAAGGGGAATATCATGACCAACTTGTCATTTTTGCTTTTCCCTCTCTCCATTGCCTCAACATGCTCCCTGCTAAATAAAACATTCCTCATTAACTGGCAACACAAAAAACACGCTATCACAATAATTTGAACCAAAGATCAGGTTATGTACATTCAATCTGAACATTTAAGGCCAATGAAAACCTTTCTGCTGCTAGTAGACTACTAGAAATATCTCAGTGTGGTGTTAGAATTTGCACCTTGGGAATAATATGCTACTCTTGAGTTTGTGCCTATATAGTCAATCACATTAACCACTTCAATACTGGACACTTTCATCTCTTCCTCCCCAGGCCAATTTTCAGTTTTTGGTGTTCTCACACTTTGACAATTAGTCATGCAGCACTGTACCTAAATTAAATATTTTATCATTTTTTGAGAGAGATAGAGCTTTCTTTTGGTTGTATTTAATCATCATTTTTTTTTTATTTTTTTTTACTCTATAAGCAAAGAAATACAGAAACTTTTGAAAATATTCACATTTTTTTTTAGTTTCTGTTATAAGGTTTTGTAAATAAATCATTTCTTCATAAATTTGAGCCAAAATATATTCTGTTACATTTCTTTGATAAAAATAACCCAAATACATGTATATTATTTAGTCTGTGTGAAAGTTATAGAACCTACAGGCTATGGTATATACAGTATATCTGACTTTCTATCTCATTTCATGAGACAATAAAATACCAGGATAGTTTAAATACCCCCCAAATTACCCCTTTTTGGAAAGTAGACAGTCTGAGGTATTTAGTAAGAGGCATTTTGAGATTTTTCAAGTTGTAATTTTTGGTCGCTTTTTTTGGAAAATGAAGAAATAAAATTAGTTTTTTTTCACAAAGTTGTAATTTTAACACGTTACATACAGCATGGGTATATTTACAATTACACCCCAAAACACATTCTGCTGTATCTCCTGAGTATGAGGATATCACATGTGTGAGACTTTTTCACAGTCTAGATGCATAAAGGGGCTCAAATCCAAGAAGCACCTTTAGGCTTTCAAGGAGCATAAATTACGCATCTAATTTTCTGACTACCTAACACATTTTGGAGGCCCTGGAGCACCAGGACAGTAGAAACACCCAGAAAATAACCCCATTTTGGAAAGCAAACACGCCAAAGTATTTTCTGAAAGATGTAATGAGTATGTTGAAAATGTAATTTGCACTCAACCCCTTTGGTCTACCATGACGAGGCCTGTTCTGAGTGGAACCTGTCCTGTTAAACCGCTGTATGGTCTTGGCCACCGTGCTGTAGCTCAGTTTCAGGGTCTTGGCAATCTTCTTATAGCCTAGGCTGTCTTTATGTAGAGCAACAATTCTTTTTTCCAGATCCTCAGAGAGTTCTTTATCATGAGGTGCCATGCTGAAGTTCCAGTTTCCAGTATGAAAGAATGAGAGCGATAAAACCAAATTTAACACACCTGCTCCCTATTCACACCTGAGACCTTGTAACACTTATGAGTCACATGACACCTGAGAGGGAAAATGGCTAATTGGGCCCAATTGGGACATTTTCACTTAGGGGTGTACCAGGGGTGGACTGACCATTTGAGCACTCGGGCACTGCCCGTGGGCCCGGGGTCAGTAGAGGGCCCCATGAAATGCCCCTGGTATCTTTTTTATAGGCTTTTTTGAATGTGGGCAAGGACACAGGGGCCCCATGATCTCCTATTGCCCTGGGGCCCCATGAGTTGTCAGTCCGCCCCTGGGGTGTACTCACTTTTGTTGCCAGTGGTAAGCTGTACATTCACTACTTTACATTGTAGCAAAGTGTAATTTCTTCAGTGTTGTCACATGAAAAGATATAAAAAAATACTTACAAAAATGTAGGGGTGTACTCATTTCTGTGAGATACTGTGTGTGTATACATATATATATATATATATATATATACATATATATACACAGTGCTCAGCATAAAAAAGTACACCCTTTTGAAAAGTAAGATTTTAATCAATATCTCGATGAACACAAGAACAATTTTCAACATTTTGAGTTTTATAGAACATTTGTTTAGCTCATTACATGAAAGTAAGGTTAATAATATAACTTAGATTACAAATTCTTCAGTTTTACTCAAATTAGTTGATGCAAAATGAATACACCCCACAACAAAAACTACCACATCTAGTATTTGGTATGAACTTCATGATTTGTATGGACAGCACCAAGTCTTCTTGGCATGAAATGAAATTGGCGACATATTGCAACATCTATCTTTTTCCATTCTTCAAGAACGGCCTCTTTTAGAGCCTGGATGCTGGTTGGAGTGATACTCAACTTGTATCTTCATAATTCCCCATAGATGTTCTCAGATCAGGAGACATACTTGGCCAGTGAGTCACTTTCACCCTGTTCTTCTTCAGATATGCAACAGTGGCCTTAGATGTGTGTTTTGGATCATTGTCATGTTGGAAAAGTGCTTGACAACCAAGGACACAGAGTGATGGTAGCATCATCTCTTTCAATATAGAGCCGTACATCTGCGAATTCATGATACCAACAATGAAATGCAGCTCCCCGACACCATCAGCACTCATGCAACCCCAGAGAAGGACACTGCCACCACCATGTTTCACTGTAGGCACCGTGCATTTTTCTTTGTACTCACCTTTGCGACACCATACAGTTTTGAAGTCATCAGTTCCAAAAACATTTATCTTGGTCTCATCACTCCAAAGTTCAGAGTCCCATTAGTCTTCTTCTTTTTCATCATGGGCCCTGGCAAATTCTTAGCGGGGTTTTTTGTGAATGGGTTTTAGGAGAGGCTTCCTTCACGGATGACACCCATGCATAGCTGTTAGGGACTGCGGCGCACAGGTCTGCACATACGCAGATTACCTAGGTGCACTAATATGCAGGCACTAGGACCTGGGCGTCGTCGTCGGCAATTGCACCAATGACGGTGCAGGGCGCACTATTTAAACTGGCCAGATGGTGACTAGGTTGCCGCAAGGTCTAGTTCCTGTACCCGTGTTCTGAAGTGTGTTCCTGTTGCCGATCCTGCTTGTCCTGATTTGTGTTGACCTTCTCCTGCTCTGACCCCCGGCTCGTCCCTGACTACTCTCCTGCCTGTTGTTATATTACTATTGGACCTCCCGTTGCTGAACCTTGGCTCGTGACCCGGCTGCTCTCTGTCTACTGTTTAGTACCTACCTGCCTCCACCGTTACCAACCCGGCTAGTCTGACTACACTCATCCCTGACTGTCATCCATCCATCCCGCTCGGGACCTGGACTTGTCAGCCTCTTCACAGCAGGCTCACCCCCCGGCACGTACCCTCGGTGGGACCCCTCTACCACAGTTGGGTGCACTCAGGGGTCGCGACCTGGTTGCAGTCTTGCACCAAGTCCATCCCCGCCATCAGGGGCTCTGGTGAAAAGGCAGACTGGGACTTAGACTCCGCGTCCTGGGGAATCCCGTTCTGTGGATCGCTAGAGATTCCGCCGGGCGGTGCCTGACAATGGCATTCCTCTGAAGTGTACACCGTATTGTGTCACGGGAAACAATCACCCCAGTTTGATTTTCTACTTCTTAAGGTAACTGCAGAGAGCTTACATGGCGATTTTCTGCAACCCTTCTCATCAGAAGTTGCTCTTGTCGAAGTGTTAACTTCTGTGGATGGCCTGGACGTCTCTGTGAGATGGTAGTAGTTCCATCTTTGTTAAATTGCTGTGTCAATTTTGCTACAGTATTCTGACTGATAAGTAAAGCTTTGCTGATCTTTTTGTAGCCTTCACCTTTCTTGTGTAAAGAAATTAATTTCTTTCTCAGCCCTTGTGACATTTCTCTTCCATGTGGTGTCATTGCTGACAGTATGATATGGGAAGTGGTTTTCTTTGTTAAGTAACACCCTTTTATAATCAACTGTCTGCTGGACACCTGTTTAATTAATAATTAAACTCACCTGTACTTGAATTCTTTTTAATTAGGACTTTGTTGCCTAAAATTTAGCTGTACTCCTAAGACTTTCATTGGGGTGTATTCATTTTTGCAAAATGGTCTTGAAGGAATTTGTTAAGAAAAACAAGTGTAAATTAACAAATCTTGCTTGCAATCAATGGCCCGCAGTGGTGGGAGTATTTTTTAGTATAGTGTCCCATAGAAAAAAATTATTCTGAAAGGAAAGTAAAGGTTTTCTGACAAATCTATTGGGGTGTATTCATATACAGTTGTGCTCAAAAGTTTACATTCCCTGGCAGAAATTGTGAAATTTTGGCATTGATATTGAAAATATGACTGATCATGCCAAAAAATGCTCTTTTATTGAAGGATGATGGTCATATGAAGCCATTTATTATCAAATAGTTGTTTGGCTCCTTTTTAAAATCATAATGATAACAGAAATCACCCAAATGGCCATCATCAAAATTTTACATACCCTGGAATGTTTGGCCTTGGTACAGACACACAAGGTGACACACACGGGTTAAAATGCCAATTAGAGGTTAATGTCCCACATCTGTGGCTTTTTATACTTCAATATTTTTATTGAGGATTGGTTTACAGTGGTATGCATAGGAACAATAACATTTCTGCCAACATGGCGAAATGGTGAGCATAAACAAAATCGTAGAACATGTAAGCATATATATAAAAACCAGCATGCTCACCAGGAAGCAAACGTTCCAACAGACAGTGGACAAGGGCAGTGCCAGAGAAATTAACCACCAATATAAAAACCCCAATTCAAAAGAAAAAAGTTAAGAATATGGAAATCGAAAGAAAAGAGCTAGGATAAGACAAGGAGGAGAGAAAAAAGAAAGGGAAAAGACAAAAAAAAAAAAGGGGGGGGAGAGGGAGAAAATGAGAAAGAGTCAGCTGCGACGTAATTAAGCAATGGAGATATATCTGATCCATGGTTCCCACGTCCCCTCAAATCTAGATTCATCATTATTGACAATGCTAGTTAACTTATCATTTACCATTATCCAATTAAGTTTTTGTTTAACCCCGTCTAGCGGAATCAATGATTGTCTACAACTTCTAGCTATGGTAATGCGTGCCGCCTGTAAGAGGTAATGAATTAGTTTAGTCGATTTTTTGGGAACGGTAGCAGGTAGCAGATGAAATAAGGCCACTTCCGGTGTTCTACGAATATTAATTCCCGTAATTGAGTAGATAAAATTAAACATTCGGATCCAAAATCTATTCACTACTGGACATTTCCACCAAATATGGAACATAGTTCCCTCTTGTCTGCAATGCCGGAAACAAGTAGGTGATACTGAGAGGCATATTTTAGCGAGGTGTGTAGGAACCAAGTACCAACGAAGTAGCGTTTTGTAATTGGATTCAATAAGAGCAGTATTAATCAATATCTTTGATAGAGAAAGGGCTGCAGCCTTCCAAGTTTCAAGATCCAAGGAGCTATTCAAGTCCCTTTCCCATTGGAGAGAACGAGGACGCAGTCCATCCATTCAGTCTCCAATATGCAGCAAACCCTTATTCATCCACCATTGAAATACTGATGGTGACACACCAGGAATAAACTCAGGATTATAAAAAACTGGAGCTAATGGAGTATGTGGGGAGAAGAAAGGTTTGCGAGCCCGCCATCTGTCCCAAACCATCAACGAATAGGACAGCATGGGACACAAAATAGGAGGACGTAAGCGACTGGGGAGCCACATAAGAGCAAGAATAACATAAGGATGGCAGGATAAGACCTTAATGCCAACCCACTGGGGGACATAACCCCTGGCTGTAGTACATGTTAACTGTGCTATCTGAGCCGCATGAAAATAAGCTAGGAGATTAGGAAGTCCCAAACCGCCATGCTTCTTTAGGGAAAAGAGAGTTGACCTGTTGACCCTAGGACGCTTTCCCCTCCAGATAAATCTAGAGACTGCAGCCTGTAATAGTATCAGTTCCTGTTTGGGAACCATGATTGGTAACGTCCTAAAGTGGTACAATAGGCGCGGTAAAAAAGTCATTTTAATAGAGTGAATTCTACCAAACCAGGAAAGTGGGAGATCCTGCCATTCTAGTAAATCAGATTTAAGTAGCTTGAAGAGTGGAAGATAATTGGTCTTGTATAAGGATGAAAAAGATTTTGTGAGGTGAATCCCCAGATAGGGGAGAGAACGAGGGGCCCACTGGAAATCAAAATTGTCCTGAAGGTAACGAACCTCCAAGTCCGGGAACAAAATATTTAGGGCAATTGTTTTAGAGGAATTAAGAGTAAGATCGGAGGCCTCTGAGAAACGATGAAACAGGTGAAGAAGACCGGCAAAGAAGTGTGAGGATCAGATATGTACATAAGGACATCATCAGCAAATAAAGCGCATTTATGATCCCGCTGACTGCAGCGGATGCCCGAAATAGTGGGATCAGAGCGAATGGCGATCGCAAGCGGTTCCATTGCCAGAGCGAATAATAGTGGAGAGAGAGGACAACCCTGTCTAGTACCACGCCCTATCAACAGGGAGGCTGATTTATAACCACGAATGGAAACTTGAGCCAAAGGATTAGAAGAGAGAGCCCGTAGCAAAGTCGTAAAAGAAGGGCCAAACCCAAACCTAGCTAACATCTGAAATAGGTAGTCCCACGAAAGATTGTCAAACGCTTTATGAATATCCAGCGATAACAATAAAATTTCCCTCTGTGGAGATTTGTCAAAATTAGAATGGACGGCTGACAGCAAAGCTAAAGTCCGGCGAATTTGGCCTGATGTTTGTCGACCGCTGATAAAGCCTGACTGATCATCATGAACATACAATGCTAGGAATTTATGGAGGCGTAAGGCCAAAATTTTAGTGAGAATCTTTAGGTCACAATTAATTGGAAACTATAGAAACATCTTTGAGGGGTTTGGGGATGACACTAATGAATGCCTTATTTTTGTCGGGGGGGTGCCAGTCCCCCATCCTGTAGATAATTAAAATATTGAACCATATGGGGAACCAGGATATAAGGGAAAATTTTCTAATAGTTGTGAGGAAGACCATCCGGTCCTGGGGATTTATAAGGGGCAAGAGATTTCAAAGCATCCCTAATCTCTTCACATGAAATGGGCCGTTCCATCGACTCCCTATGAGCCTCCTGGAGACAGGGAAGAGAAACAGAACTCAAGAAGGAGTCGAAAGACGAAGAAGCACCTCCCTGAGGCGTACTATAAAGTTCAGTGTAAAAAGAGTGAAATCTTACCCGGATCTTGGGATAAAGTGCCGTCGTCTAATCTGAGTTTAGGGAGAATAACTGGGAGTCAACTTGCGGGCCAATAAGGTACCAGGTCGATCCCTCAAAGTAAAAAATTTATGGTCAGACCATTGTAGCTGTTTGTCAGCCGTGGTAGTAAGACAAAGATTTTTGTTCCAGCCGGGCTTGATCCAATTTAAGCAACAAGTCCGGACTGGGATTTTGCTTATGTTGGGAAACCAAGCCAGAATATGCTTGAGTTTTGGTGGCTAGAAGGTCATTTCGGGCTTTTTTAAGTCGTGAAGAGAGCTGAATAATAAACCCCCTAACTGAGGCCTTATGGGCTGCCCAGTTAATGGCCGGGTTCAGAGGATGACTTATTAAGTTCAAAGTACGTTTGTAAGTGAGAGGAGATGTCCTGACAATGGGAAGAATTACCCAAGATAGATTCATTAAGGTGCCAACAATAAGCAGTCCTACCAATCAGCCTGGATGACAATGTCATAGAAATCGGGTCATGGTCAGACCAAGGCGTGGAGACGATTTTAGCAGTGAGGAGTCTAGGGAGTGAATGTGTATGAAGAAATACAGTTGCAAGAAAAAGTATGTGAACCCCTTGGGATTACATGGAGTTTGCATGAATTGGGCATAAAATGTGCTCTGAATGTCATCTAAGTCACAACAATAGAAGAACACAGTCTGCTGAACATAATACTACACAAACATTAGATGTTGCCATGGTTTAATTCACATAACATGTAAACATTCACAGTGCAGGGAGGAAAAAGTATGTGAAGCCCTAGCTTAATGACTTCTCCCAGAGCTAATTGGAGCCAGGAGTGAGCCAACCTTGACTCCAATCAGTGTGATGATATTGGATGTGTTGCTGACAACTGTCCTGCCCTTAAAAAACACACACCTGTTTTGGGTTTACTGGTTTCAAGAAGCACTGTCTGATGTGGACCATGCCTCGCAGAAAAGAGCTATCAGAAGACCTACGATCAAGAATTGTTGACTTGCATGAAGCTGGAAAGGGTTACAAAAGTATCTCCAAAAGCCTTGATGTTCATGTGTCCACGGTAAGACAGACTGTCCACAAATGGAGAAAGTTTAGCACTGTTGCTACTCTCCCTAGGCGTGGTCGTCCCTGTAAAAATGACTGCAAGAGCACAGCGCAGAATGCTGCATGAGGTAAAGAAGAATCCCAGAGTGTCAGCTAAAGACCTACAGAAATCTCTGGCACATGCTAACATTTTTGTTGACACATCTACAATAAGGAAAACATTAAACAAGAATGGAGTACATGGGAAGACACCACGGAGGAAGCCATTGCTGTCCAAAAAGAATATTGCAGCACGTTTGAAGTTTGCAAAAGAGCACCTGGATGTTCCACAGCACTACTGGCAAAAATACTGCGGACAGATGAAACCAAGATTGAGTTGTTTGGGAAGAACACACAACACTATGTGTGGAGAAAAAAAGGCACAGCACACCAACATCAAAACCTCATCCCCACTGTAAAACATGGCGGAGGGAGCATCATGTTTGGGGCTGCTTTGCTGCCTCAGGGCCTGGACGGATTGTTGTCATTGATGGGAAAATGAATTCCAGAGTTTATCAAGACATTTTGCAGGAAAAACGTACGA